ACCCATGCTCAGATGAATAGTCCTGGCTGTACTCCGCTACCGAGTCAGATGATCTATTTGCCTGAGTGGTTTTTTGAAGCGATCTCTGTTCACCTTCTAAATCCTGGCTAATTTTATGACATTGCTTTATTGATGAATGTATGATGACAGGCTTCCTCCACTGCCATCTGGAAAAAGCTATGGGATGAACATTAACCATAAGGAAACTACTGACGCTGGCTAAGCCATTGGTAGATAAAGGGGAGTACTTGAGCTTGGAGAACAAACTCTGCCAGGTTGTTTGAAGGGAAGAAGTTTTAGACAGTGGAAATTCCCCAAGCAGGAAAACAAGGAAACCAGGTAGTTGTGCTTTACTTTTAAAACTTGAGTGGGTAGAGGCAAAAGGATGCTTTTACAGAAAAGAGGAACATTGGGCTGTGCTTTATTAATAGAAATGTTCTTTCAGACCTCAGGATGTCTATGGAGAACCACGGTGGTCCTGGGACTGCAGGTATTTCTACACAGGGGAAACATGAATCTAGGACACATGTCAGGGAGACCGAACAAAAAGTGCTGAAACCTTCCCAGATCTATGAAACCTGATAAATAAAAGTCTAAAGAGAAGAATTAGGGAGAGCTTTAAACCAATGAACAAGAGGAATGGAGTAAGAGTTAGTAATAACATTTCCTTAAGTTGCAGGTCACACATTTTTTTTTCTTTTTTCCCACCTTCTTGTGCTTTCATCAGCTGGGTTCATCCCAAAGATATCCAAATCTTTCTTTGGCTTCTCTGGGTGTCGGTTCAGGAAATTGTCCCTGTTCTTATGCAGATAGTTCACCAAATCACCATAAAAGCAGTATTCAGTGATGATGTAAATAGGACCTGATAAAATAAAGCAAAATAATGTATTGATGAGTTGGGTCTTTAAAAAAAAAAACAAACTCAAAAAATAGTAGAAAATAGAATATAAAGCATAAAAAGTATTGTGGGTTAATACATTTTTATTTACTAAGTTACGGCTTCAACTACTAACAAATATCAAGTAGGTTTGTGAAACCTTTTACTACTTTATATTTATTATTAAATGCTTTACTTGAAATTTGTGTGCTTGTTCAGCAGTGAATGGTGGCTCCACAGCAAACCTCCATTTTGTCAGCCAAACCCACCTGATTTTGTACACGCTCCAAGCAGATTCACAATATTCAGGTGGGGGCCAAGATGTGTCATGATCTTCAGTTCAGACATGAGCGCTTGTTTTTCACTGGATCTAGCTGTAGCTGTTGACAAAACACACCAGCCACTCAGTCAGAGCAATCACCTTTTTCACAATAACAAACGATTTCTCCTTGCTTGCCTCATTAGAGCATTGCTACCGTGGCTTCTTGAAGAAGACTGTGTCCTTTACTTGACAAGGGGCTTTCGTAAGGCTTGGAGAGGAGTCACAGATCACTAATAAAGAACTCATTTGGTGCAGCTCAATAGCTGACTCAGTCTGTTTGTCCCTCTCCAGGGTTACGGTGGATTGCCCAGGAGGCACGGAGGCGCTTCATAAGCTGCTAGTTTCAACACAAGAAAGCTCCTCATGGTTCCTCCAGAATCACTGCGTCAGATTCTCAGCTCTCATGAACTGGGAAACCTTCAGTGAACTTAAGATTCTCACACGAGACCTGCCTATTTCTCCTTTGTTGTGTTGCTTTCATTTGTTCACAAGCATTCATGGTTATTTTATCTGTTCTGAGTTATTGTGGCTGCTGCAGTCCATACAGCTAAAACTAAACTTTGGATGTTTTCAGAAGCCTGGATACTTCCAGTCTTGAAATGCCATGAAGCGATCTAAAGCATAATTTTAAATTTTAGTCATTCCACAGTTCATTTTCAACTTCAGATATGGAGAATCTATTTATACACAAACAATGCTTAAATAACCCTGTGGGAGCACGCCCTGCCTAGCTTGGGAAATGGAACCGCGACAACTTACGTTTCAGCATTTTCACAGCTACTTTCATCACCGGTTGAGAGCGACTCAATCCATATGCAGTCCCTTCCACTACTTTTCCAAAAGCACCAGAACCAAGGATTCGACCTGAACACAAGGGAGAGCATTATTTATTTCAGAAAGTAACACCAATTCGCCTCGTTTCCCGCTGCCATTCCTCTACGGGTTGTGATTCTTGCGTGGAAAGAGCGCATTCATCTAGCCTGACCACTGGTAACCACTGTTGTTAATCAGAAATGGCAAATATAATTTGAAGAAATGCTGTCATTAAGTACAATTCTTAAATAAAAACAAGCAAACAAGCATCAGGAGCACATCTGCACGTGGGAGTTTGTAGAAAAGGGACTCTGAGGAACAGCTCAACTGGTCCAAATTCGTCTCCCACTCTGCCTTGCCATCCTCAACTTTATCCTTTCTAAACACTGGTTCTCCTGTGATTAAAAGTTGACTTCTCTGCCTCAGTCAGCACCTGACTACAGTACCCTTGTGCCCTCTACTTAAAAATCTGAATTGAACTCCGTGGCTGTAGTTTCAGGCCTCATGTAAGACAGACTGGAACACATCAGCAGCACGTTTAGAAATAGACAGGCAGGATCATCAGTGCCCTGCAAGAAGCCGAAATACATGTTGGTCACATATGAGGGGAAACTTCTCTGAAGTTTAATGTACAAGTGTGTTTCATATGCTTGAATAAATTTTATTGCAAATTTCCAAGTGCTGTAATGAAATGGCTAATGTTTATACACACTCTACTCTTCCCACAAATCAATATAGACAAAATTTTGGATTATCATATCCTGTATCCTGATATGGATACAGTGTGCAGAAGAATTGTGTGCAGATTGAGTGAGATTTTACACAAATATGAACTGCACAAACATACTCCAAAATACTATATTTCGTAGGCCCCATACTGAAAAGCAAGTTCATTAAGGCAACGCTTAGTGAACAAACCCATATATGAGCTCCAGATGCCAGGATATTTTCATATTCCTGACAACCTCTGTATTTTAATTTACGTTACTTTTTAACATCCAGCACAGGAAGAATAAGCAGTGACTTTTACTATGGAGATATACGTCATTTTGTCTTAGACGCTCGTTTGCAGTTTGAACTTGCCACCTTTTACGCTTCTGAAGGTGTTATCTGGCACGCAGTGCCATATGTTTCTGTTATCCCTTAGCTACAGCCCCCACTTTCATTGTATAAATGTCCTTAAAAGAACGCTTCCAGCCAAACGCTATCTGCATCATTAACAAGCACAAGAAACAGTTAAAAGTGTGCTTAGCTGAGTAACCACTGAAGAACCTCTCCAAGACTATGACAGTGTAGTTTGTCATACACACAAAAACTATACGATTTCTTTTCAAGATCCCTGTGCTCCAAAGGTTATTCTTCCCAGTCAGGATGTGAGAAAGCTTCCCACTAAATTTCAGACTAATTCAAACAACCTGAGTCTGAAATTTGGCCCCTGAAACTTTTCAGACCCAAGGTCTGGGAGCCACATGGCAGGATGCAGCCCCTCAGAATGTGATGGCATTTGCTGATGCTCCTTGATCTTCTTGTCTTCACAAGCCAGTTCCTCCCCAAACCATATTGTCTGCTGAGCACGAGGCGCACATCTCCCTCTCCATCACCTCTGCTGAGCCGGGGTGCATGTGGAGACGGTGAGAGCGCTTCCGGAGCGGCGGGGAGCGATCGCTGCTGTTTCCCCTTTTCACCCCTCTCCACAGACGTAGCCCAAGCCCCATGTGTTTTACACTCGAAATTTGGAGCCAGGTGGGAGCTGACTGCTCAAGGGCTGGAGGCATCTGGAATGCCATCGCATTCTTGATGTCAAGGCTTTCAGTGGAGCCCAGAATTATAACGTGTGTTTACTTTTCTTGGTTTAAAGTATACTTTATAAGTGTAAAGGCACTGCTGTGATCTGCTGGCCCGAGGAGCAGCGCTGCTTCTCTGCCACAGAGGGACTGCACAGACCAGCAGCAGCTCAAGGCTCCTCAAACTAACGGAGGACCAGCGCCTGGGGGTGAGAGCTCTTTCAGGCCCTGCTACCCATCCACAGAGCTTATCTGCTGAGCCTTTTGGAGAGGTGCTGTTTTTCTGCTTGGTGAGGGGAAGACAAATACAAAGGTGAAGTCCCTGGATTTGTTCCGGACACAACTTTCTCAACTGGATGCTGCTTTGGCTAAAATTGAAGGGAGGTGATCAGCTCACCCCAAATTAAACCATAACTTTCTTGGTCTATATCAAAAGCCAAACAAGTAACAAGCTTTATAATCTACATCCATGAGAAATTAGGTATCACATCCCTAAATGCTGCATAACTTGTATCTTAACTTGCATTTTGCAAATGGGGATGGGTCTGATTCTCTGTCAGACCAGCATTTCATTTTATTAAAGCCACTAGGAAAAATGGGTGGCTTGCTGGGAAGCGATGGGAGCAATTCTGTCACCTCTCTACAGCCACCTCGAGACCCTGAGAAACAGCAGCACTCGGACCCCGCTCCTCAAAAGGCCCCGCCCCCCCATCTCAGCTGAAGGAGGAGGTCCAGGTCCTGCTGGGACCTCGCCACTTCTCAGCAGAGCCAGGAGAAGGCAGTGGCATTCGAACAGCTCACTGCCTTATCACATTTCTCATTCTGCTGCTCATCTCCTCCGCTTGTGCTGGCTGCTGAGCGCTCCGAACAGCAGCAGACTACAGACGTTGCGGAGGGGTGATAGCAAAGGGGAATTTGCAGCACAACCCAAATTTATCAACTGAAGCTCCATCCAGCCAACGTCCAGAGTTGGCATTTAACACAGCACTGCACTCCAGGCACTACTAGCTAGAAAAACAAATAAATGCCAGCTGGCTTACACAGCTAGGATGGGAAATGCTCATCTGACTGAGCCAAAATGGTTTTGTATCCTGCTTCGGAGCCTCCCTGAGCTAAAGGTGTAATTGCTTTGCTGCCATCTCCCTCTTCAATAAGAGAAAACTCACACAAACCAGAATTGTGAGCCCCAGAAACCAAAGAGGTCCCCACCAGCAAGCATCTCCTATGGCAAAACTGCCAGCAGGTAAATGTTAACCATGTCAAGAAGATCGCTTGTGCAATCCAGATCGCTAAAGGACCATGTAGCATTAGTTTTTAAAGCACTGATTGTCCTGAATATACTGTAAACAGGAAGGCATTGAAGGCTGGTGCTCATGAGTCAGAGGGAGACAAAGTCACAGTGGTGGTCTGTTAACAGCTCAGATCTGACAAATCCTATTTAGGCATATAATTAAAGTCTGGGTTGTAATAAAATAATTCCATTAAATATCCACCCTCCTCTAGTTTTCAATTAGCAACATGAATTTAATTAAAGGATATCATTCCTGAACCAGAAGTTTTTGTGCTGCTTCTTTCAAGAGTTAACATTAATTCTTTCTCTGTGGTGGGGGAAGGAGAGCTACACCAGGGGAGTGTGTTTCTTAAAACATATCAAACAAAAAAAATATTTCCTCTTCTTCTCCTATATGTTGTGATACAGCTTGGTGCACAGATACCTCCAAGAGAGGGAAACCTTTTGTATTTAAAGCACTATCTGCATAGAACATCAAAATTGTCTAGAATCATTACACTTTCAATTGATATAAGTGACAGATTGGGCCAGCCTTGAAGAAGTGATGGAGAAGTGATTACCAACTGAATTCTGTATGAATTCCAATGCAGGGATATTTATTTTTTTCCTTCCTTCCTTCCTTCCTTCCTTCCTTCCTTCCTTCCTTCCTTCCTTCCTTCCTTCCTTCCTTCCTTCCTTCCTTCCTTCCTTCCTTCCTTCCTTCCTTCCTCTCTTTCTTTCTTTCCTTCTTTCTTTCCTTCTTTCTTTCCTTCTTTCTTTCCTTCTTTCTTTCTTTCAGCAAGAAAGCAGAAGGGGAAGGAAGAAGGGCAGTAGCCACAAAAATAAGTTGTAAAGTTACTCAGCACTGATATATGCACATCATGGATTAATAATTTTTTAAATATTTTTAATAAAGCTATATAACTACTTGCAGATTTCCCTTGGCCTCCGGACAGAAGCATATAAAAGTCTTGCAGATAAAAAAATGCCAGTGCACTTCTTGCGGGTGCCTTAGAAGGACTAGTGTTGAAGAGGGAATTTAATGCTGAGAGGGGCCCCCTAAACCATGTGGAGGTGGGCACTGCACGCGGGGCATGTGGAGGAGAGGTGGGGGAGACACTAACGCAAGGAGCTCAAGGCTGACACTGCTGTAGAAGAAGAGGAGGATGTGGCAGGAGAACTGAGGAGAACAGACAGGTAGAGAGAGGCTCTGGACGTGGCCATGAGTTACATCACAAATTCCAGTAGCAGAGACCTCAAAGTTGTCCTTAATTGTCCTTCTCCCCAGAGAAGGATGCAGAATTAGTCCCTTAGAGGAAACTTACCAAGCACTAACCCGTCTCGAGGAAACTCCCATCTGGAATCATAAGGCAGTTGCATTGGGTCCACATAAATGTATTCGTGGCCATCGGGGCTGATAGATTCAATGACTCTCCATCTTATCTCATACCTCGGCTTCTGCAAAGCACATTGAATGCAAAACCAACCATTAGTCTTGTGGTTGCTCTTGACTTCAGAGCAGATCAAAACCCAGTGGGGCTTAGCATCCAAACTGAAATACTTTTCTACACTACCTGTTTCCAGATGATGACCAGGACAATCAGTGAAATTATCACAATCACTAACAGCACTAAGACTGCAGCCGCCACCGTTAGTTCTGATCGCAAGGCTGTGGGGCAAAAAGACAGACTTTATTTTCCTCCTGAGCCATGAGGAACATGACATACACAGAAGGCACCCACTTCCCGTACCATCACAGTTCCCAGGTCCTGCAGATGTGGCAGGAGCAGTTCCTGAGGCTGGTGACTAAAGTCTTTCCAAGCCAAGAGCTGCTCTGCCTTCCTGTTTCAAAACCAAATGCAAAGATTGTCTAGAAGAACATCCCGTAGCCAGTGGCCATAAAGTGATAAAAAGAACCGTGTAACCGTATAATAAGTGAAAAACAGATGCACCATAAAGACCTGTAGAATGCCTCATCCTCAAATGTCCCAGGGCAGAAAAAAATCCATTTTCACTTATTTTTATCTGCAACAATTCACATTTTTATCTATTAAGCACTCTTCCAGACTGAACTGGGGTCTGTTAGAGAGGGGTTAAACTGACTGCCGTACTCTCACAGGAGGACAAAGCAAACTCACTGGGAGCCACAAGCTTCAGTTCCCGAGTAACAGCACCAAGGTCGTTCCTCGCCACGCATCGCACAGCCAGGGTTTCCTCTACTTTCTGAAAGGTCACCTGGCTTTCCACCATATTTTTCTCATCTAAGTGGGCTTCCATGTGTATATCAGAGATATTGTTAGTCAAAAGAGTCCATGAGGTGTCATTGCTGCACCTGCAGAGAAAAATAACAGGGAAAACAGGAGTTGGGCACAGGTATGGATAAAGAGGAGTGAAGAGAACAGTAACCACCTTTCCCTATTTCTTCTGACAACGATCATTTTAAAAACCAGAAATGCTTAAGGCCACCTCTATGAAAAGCCTACATCTTTCTTCCCTGAGGATAATTTGCCTTATGATCCTCATTACTGCTGCCACTTTGAGGGCCAGACAATGCAGCCCAGCAGGTCTGGTATAGATAGACCTTGGTGTTGCTCTGTATCCCATAGACTTAAGTAGTCGATGGACCTCTATTGCTCCCTGAATCCTTAGCACTGTACAAGGCTCCCTGGGGCAGGGCTAGGAGGACAATTGTCCCACCAGGCAGCAAGAGATTTTAGCACAATGAGAGCAGAACACACCTGGGAGGTGCCCAGGGCTCCTAGCCTTCTTTCCATGCATGGTCTCCCTCTCCCTGGCGGATAACCTCCCAGGAAAACCTTGTCTCCCAGCAGGCAAAGGAGCCAATCTAGAACTAGCGAAAATGGGACTGATTACTCCACATGTCTAAAATACTTGGAAAGTGAAAATTATAATTAGGGGGGAAATAATTACAAGTGAAAATTTAGAAGCACACAAGGGTGTTAATGAGGCAGATGAAGCTATCTGGGAAATGATAAGAACTCCCTGGCTGGAGGGACAGCTACTCCTTGAGATCCTTATTCAAACTGGGACTGTGAAATCTATTGAGTTCACTTATTGAACAGAAAGCTTTTTTGAGAGAAACCTCCTGAATCAATGCATTGTGTCTTCTCCTACAGGATGCAATAGGGATGCCACTGACAAACTCCCTTGAAATATAAAAAACATGCCTTTAAAAAGAAGAAAAATGATCGAGAGCTTACTGGCCCTCGATGAGGAAAACATGGTACGCTAACTAATAATGTTAAGCCAATCAAGGGCACAAGAAGTCACATTTTAGGTAAGAAAGCACCCGCTCCGCTTACTTTTTAATGTCCTTGCAAACCAGCCATTCCACATCCGGAAGCGGGGTCCCCTCCGCCAGGCACCTCACCGTCTGCCCCCCTGCAGAGCCGTGGTGGTCGTCCATGAGGTCTAAGATCAGGGCTGGAACTGGGAAGGAGTCAGGAGTTTGTTAAAATACTTGCCAGAGTCTATAAAAGCAGCCTGAAATTTCAAATAAACCAGGACAGGTATTGTTTGGCCAACAGCGTCGCAAGAGCTAGAGGCCTGGACTCGACAGGAGGTCCTTGTCTCCTACGGGACGGAGCAGATCCTAGGCTAGAGCCATGAAAAGGAAGTGCTGCAGTTATGCCACGTCCTCATGTCATACTAAATGAGCTATCGTCCCTGCTGTCAGCTGGAATAACTTAGGCGGGAGGATAAAGTTTCTTTTTGGCTCAAGGCCAGCGCAGAAGTGAAAGCCAGGATCAGGGTACGAGAGCTGCAAGGACTCGGCACGCACGCATTCCTCCAGACACCCCGATTCAAGCCTTTCTCATCTCAATACTCCAGGCAATCCGATGTTTAAGTGGATCAAGTCTTTGCTGTGTGCCATCAGTTCTGGTGGGCGAAGCTTTGGGGCTCCTTACCTTGTATTAGCAAGGAGAAGGTGTATCTTTTAAGGTCGTCTTCATTTTCAACAACCAAAGTATAGTACCCGCTATCTTCTTCCTTGGCCCGGATTAATTTTAATACACTCTGAAACCTGCAGAAATTAGAGAGTTTGTTTGCATTTTTAAAGCAGGTACCAAAAAAATTCATTTTGGTGCAACATGTATTCTGGGTATGTAGAGGTTATGATGCAGTGACATTTAGCATTTCTAGCATGCCTTTAACTAAAATCATTACTCAAGCAACAAATAGCTACCAAAATACAACTGAGAAACAAGAGGGCATAGTTACATTCTGCAGGGATTTGACAAAGCCCCTGATATTATTGGAAATAGCTAGAAATTACTGGAGTGGAGCCATGTTGGAGGGACTGAAGAGGCTTAGTGCTCAGAAACCAAGATTTCTATTGTTTGGAGAGGTTGATGTTATGAAGGGAATACGAAGAGGCAGATTAGGCATCACCCTTTAGAGTAGAAAACAAAGAAAGGCTTTTTAAATGCCACTGAGGAAGAAGAAAAAAAACTGAGGCGGAAAGAAAAAGCAGGAGCAGTGTCCAGGTTTCTGGGGGAGCAACTCAAGTCAACATGGCAAAGTAAAAGTCAGAAGACTATTTTTACCTTGTTTCCTGGACTCTGTTGGAACTAGTAACAATCTCAGTAAGATTTTCAATCAGAGTCACGTTATCCTTCAACCAGTACATTTTTGGTGCTGGGTATGCCTGCACATCGACAACGAAGTTTTTGACTTCGTGTAGATTGACAGCTTCCAGAGGGCTAAACTGAGGCTCCAGGTGAATAAAGCCTTTGTCTGTAAATGAAAAAGCCTTGTGTAAACAACGCTGTGCCGCATTTTTCAAGAATGGTGTTTTCCAACACGTTAATAATTTTTGGACACTAAAAATCAGACTATACCATGAACTGTAATGACTACTTTCTTATTTTCCTTAACCTCCTTGGTTGCATGCCGTGCAGTACATTCATAGTCCCCTGTGTCTTTCACTGATGCCTCAGGAATGGTCAAGGTGTAAACCAGCTTCTGCGATGGGACTTTGATATCATCAAGTTTTATCAGACCTTTTTCTTTCTGTAGTTTGGAGAAGGAAAAAAAACCTTACTTAAGTAACTGAGCTGAAAACACACCGCTGAGGATCTACGATGCCGCTGGAGTGAGAGCAACCATCTAAACCCCGTATGGCAGAAGACTTGTTTACTCAGTCAGGGATGTATTTTTCAGCCACAGACACAAAAGGTGTATCTATAAATATACACCCTTTGGGGGGCAGGCACGGGAGGATGAGGAGGTTGAGAGCTCATATTTTCTTCACTTGAAACAAAATACCAATGAAAATTTGGGTGAGCAGCCCGAAAGAGCATTTTATTGCTTACGTGCTACCTTCTCCTCAAACAGAAAAGCCGTGAGGTTTTTATTTGGACATTTCTTTGTTCAGTTCCCATGAAGTAGGGTGGATTTTTATCCCCTCCATCAGACAAAAAGTAACCAGTTGCTAGATGCTATGTTCTCTCTGCTCTCAGAGAGATAACTCAAAACAAGAAATAATTCTCTGCTCTCAAAAAAAAGAATAATTTATTGGCAAGGCGAATATCCCTGTGAGAAAAAGGATGGTGAGAATGGCAGACCATGTGATCGTGAGAGGCTGGAATAAAAAATATGTTGGGGCTAGTTTTGGAAGGTGGGATATAGCAGAGATTATGATGTGTAACATGGAAAATAGAACAAAACCTCAAATAATTTTTCCTCTCCAACACCTAACTTACTTAAATAAAAGTTGGGATTTGGGGTCACAACTAGGTAGTCACTTCAACTACTCCATCTCTTCAGTGGCAAGACATTTTACATGGGATACTCTGAAATTCTCCATTGACTGAGACTAGCTCGAACCTAGTTTCACTAAATACAAATTTTCACTGCAGAAGGATGTTACGCCAGTTTGAAAATTTCTGAGGTTCTCCAAAAGTTTTAAGATTTTCTTATTAGTGAGTAATTACACTGGCTGTTGTTTTAATTAACACCTGCACCATGAGGAACAATTAAGACTATGAACTTGACTCTTCGTTGTCCTTCACTATGCTCAGGAATCCAGGGTTTAAAAGAGACATTTTAGAGGTTCAGACCTCCATCGGTAGAGCTCTCTGCAGATGTCCAACACATTCTTAGATCTCTCTATTTCCACAACATTTCTTTTTTTTGAACCAGCACAAGACCTGAGAGACAACATTCCTCCCTCAGAGGATGGACTCTTAGTCACACCTCACCTTCCTCTCATGCTTTGCATACTTACTAAGAGCAAACTCTAACTTTTGGGATGGACTTTCTTTTGTGGTAACTTAAAAGAAATTACTTACTTTTCTCTCCTCAGCTGTCCTCATTCAGAGAAGAGAAGACTATTTTACAACCCCACCTTCTTCCCCAATAAGTAACTGCAAACATTCAGCCCAAAAATAAAATAAAGAGAGAGATATTTACCACTTTCCCAGGATAATTCCACTGTAAATTAACCACCTCATTGTCAAAGACCACACAAGTCACTACGATGGTCTCGCCTGTTTTGTAGACAGTTTTAAGAGCTTCAATTTCAACCGGTAGCTGTGAAGTAGCTAAGAGAAGAGAGAGAGTGAGCAGGTTTAGTTTTAAGAAGTACACAATGTTCACATGATATGATTTCAGAGGGAGAATCCCATTTCAGTTCCTCTATTGAGGAATTACCTGGAAAATTCAGTGAAAGTAGTGCCCTTTTATACTCATATAAACGGGGTGTATTTAAAGCATGAAGTGTGCAGGCATTGAGTTCAGTCCCACAAAGAAATGATCCTGCATAAAATTTCAATTAGAAGTTCCTATCTCAAATACCCCTATGAAAAGATACCCGATATAAAAGCAGTTTCCCATTTTGCTAATCCTTTGAGAATCCCTTGCTGGCCAATAAAAACCTTGTTTTCAAAATACTTGAATCATGCTGTTTTTCAGACGACCCAAAGTCCTATGATTTCAAGCCACTGGAAAACACCAGTCTTTTAAGTTACGCTTCAGCAAACAGGATGAAAATACATGGATTACAGGAGACTTTTCTTGCAAGAATTTTGGAGGGAAGATAGGGTTAAGCACACTTTACTCTCATCAAAATTGTATGTAACTACTAAGTAGACTACCAACTAAGTAACTGGCAATACTCCCAGAGGAGCAAGGAGCTCACCATTGGGGAAATATCTGATAAAACCCTGTGGTGCTGGTGCTAATACGGCACTTACAGTGTGAGGGAAGAACTGGGCTGAATATTATCACTTCCTTTTTTTTTTTTTTAATGAACAAAAATAAATACCTCTTAAAATATAGATGAGGAACTCATCGGACTTGAATTCCATGCCCTTAACCATTGTCTTGCATGTATACGAGCCCGCAGGGAAATTCCCTATGAAGCCTTGTTTGCTGTCATAGAAAGCATAGACGGCCTTGTCTAAACTGTTGATTAAAGTCACTTCAGCACTTGGGTCACTTGTCCGACAAGGGATAACGGTGGGATCACCTTCTTCCACTAGGATGAACTGGTCTTCCGGTATAGAAGGAACAAAAGGCATGTCTGGGTCTGTAAAAAACAAGAGGTGATTAAACACGACCTTGTGCGTGGACTTACTACAAGCAAGAACTGGATATCAATGGCTGCTTGTAGATTGTAACTGAAACTAGAACAGTTTATTACTCTACTTTTTTTCAGAGGCAGGGCATGATAATTGCATGCAATGTTTCATTTTTGCTATCGGATGTGACACATAGCGAGGCGTTTGACCTAAGCACTGAGCAGGAAAAGGCTTGGGCTCCTCTGTGACAATTCAGGATGCAGAATGAAAAATACAAACCCCACTATATTATTATTCCCCTTAGACCCGGTTCTGAGATGTTCCTACAGTGAGGGCAAAAGGGTACTAAGTGACAAAAAGAAAAAAAATCACTATTGGGTGTGAAAACATTCATGCAATTGCTGGGGACTAAAGCAAAGATGAATTCACTTTATCATAGACAACTCTATAAAGCTATATGGAGAGCAAAAATCTTAGGGAAGAATTTGGGCTTAAAACATCCTATTTTTATGACACAAGATTTTGCACTTAGGTGCAACATCCACTGCACACAAAAATTTATTAGAGATCTTGTCTTTTATTGGCACAAATCACTCATCTTCTTTAGTTAGATTTTTTTTCCTTTGGTAATAGCAGCTGTCCGCTAATCAATATATAAACAGGGGAAAAAAAATAAAAAGAATCCAAAATCCAAACTACTTTCAGTATCGAAAAGTAGAAATTATATTCATGTTGTTTATGTTGAACAGCATAAAAGCCACATTTCATCAAAAATAGTACAAGGTACTTATCTTCATGCACTTCGAACATGTCCAACATTACAGTTATGAGATAGAGCTAATTATGGTCAAGGCATGTGGTTTTCAAAATATGGTATTCAACCAGAAAAAAAAAGCAAACAAACACCTGGTAGTTTTATGTCTTTTAAAGTGAACAAAATACATGCCAGCTTTCCTATCTGGCCAATCCAAATTCTGAGTTCAAAACATAATTGCATAACATATCCAACTTAAAAAAGCACAGCCCTCAAATTATCTCCATTTGGCGATTCGGAATAAACAAATAATCCCTGCTAGCCTGAAGCTTCTGTGTGAAGCTTTGTAATAAAATTTAATAAATAGCAATCCAAATCCTTCCAACAATAGACTTTCTGCTGCACTGGCAGGCTCTTTGTAGCAATATTCCAAACACAGCACTCCATCCCAAAGACACTGCCAACTCCATGTATTCATTTTCCCACTGTAATTTAAAACAGAAACAGGATTCACCTAGTTTTGGTTTTCTGTGCACTGTTAGTGAAAATAGGATATTGTGTGAAGTCTCAGCATAATCCTCCTTGGCTAAAGTGGGTTGCTGCCACCCATTGCCCTCCTAATTCATTGCAGGAAAACCAATTGTAAAGGCAAAGTTTATAGTGGAAACAGAAACATTCTCTATAATTTGGAGAAAAGGATATGTTTCTGCATTTATGACATCTTGATGGTTAGCGAGTGGAAAAAATTACAGGGTGTCTCTGCCCTGCAAATCTGGTAGGCTGATGTCTAGAGGCTTTTAAAAACCTAAACAAAAAGCTCTCTTGAAGAAATCTTCCACCTTTTGCCTTTATATTCCTTCACTGAGTGAGTTACAAGACTTTAACACCAATAACGTCTTCTGGCAATTTGGTTAGAGCTGTTTGGAAATCGAGATACGTGGGCCAAAGCCTGCAGCCTCTGCTGAAACATCTTGCTTCAAGAATGAGCACAAACGGTTTACATTTGTTGTGGGAAACAGAGAAAAAGTCTTGGAAGAATCCCTGTCCTCAAATCACACATTGTGAACTGCAAAAACTTAATGCCACTGCAAAATAGCCTTTAAAACAAGTCCTGTTATTGCTTCCTGACTTTTTCCCCTTCCACAGTCCTCCTTGCAGTTGCAGATATCATCTCCTTCACAACATGCTGCAGTTTTGCAGGATGATTTGCAATCTTTTCTTCTCTCTTTTGTTTTCTGTTCAAAATATTTACTGCAAATCTACTGTCTTCATCTTTCTTGGCCCTGCAGTTGTGCCACTCATCCCCTGAACCCCAGCCATCACCCAGACAGGGCTTTACAAAAGCTGTGGCTCAGCCTCTGCTGCCTATCTCAGCTATGACAATAAAGATCTTCGTCGCACAGATAGCGTGGAAGGTCTTCAAAAAAATATTTCCAGTTGGAACAAGGGGGTGAGAGGGCAAAGGTGGGGATAGGTACTTCCAAAAAGAAGGGATGCCATTTATTCTGGGTCCAACAGGCTTTCCACCGCTAAAGAGAAAGGTGGCACAGGGCCTGGGAAGGCTGTGTTTGCTTTGAAAATTACAGGGCGCTGCATGGTAACACCATATTTTTCATCTTGCATCAGACCGACCAGCAATAACCCTTCTCGTTTCACCCTCCCTTGTGACAGCCACCCCCAGGACATCTCCATTGCTTTACGCTTCCCTGGCCCTGCGCACACATGAACTTTTTCCTGTTCTCAGTTCAAACCTAATTCAGGTTAAGAACAAGATACAGCCTTCCTCATCTGGCAACTTGCTGTAGTGTCAGACGTGGCATTGGTTTGGTCAGTACATGTCCCAAAACACCCACCCAAGTTACCCCTGAAAGGACTGGCGTTGACGTTAATCCCCACACAGGGGCCAGGCAAATGTGAAGGCTGGTCATGCTCCCACAGCTGAGCTGACCTGGCCGCCAAAGTCTACTACCCAGCCCCTGGTGGTCAGGAGACCTCAGCTCTGAAGCTGCAAATTCATCCCTCTTCTTCAGAACTAAAACTCTTACCAAAAAAAGTGAAAACCAATAGAAAGGAAGAGGAATGTATCCATAGACTCACAGGGGCTGGTCTTGATTTACACGTTAGGAAATGGCCCTGGGGTCATTTATCTTCCTCTGACAGCAAGTTGCCACCAGCAGTATGCCTCCTCTGGGCGTCCACGGTTCAGCCCTCCCATCCAAACCTCCAGGTACGGATGTGGCATCCCCCACTTACCAGGCACATAGATGTAGATGTCCTTCCCTTCCACTTCCCCATCCTCCACTTGAGTGTGGTTATAATAGCAAACATACAAGCCCGTATGAGCGGCTGAGGCATTTCCCACTTCGAGCACCGTCACGAAGAGGCCACTGTTGTTTTCTTCATGTCTAATGTCTATCCTGTGGCTTCCCTCGGTCACTGGGTACTGCCAGCTCACTTCGCTGTCTCCAGAGCATTTGAGCGTGAAATTGGAATTCAGCTGTACCACCATTTCATTCCTATTGGGAACAATAGTCGGCAGAGGAAGCTGGCAAAATGTTAGGAATGGTCCTGCAAAAAGACACGAATAAATAGCATGTGAACACACAGGACAGCCTCAGCGTAGGGATGGGAAAGAAAGCAGAGCAGATCCAGAGCAGCTGTTTTTCTGACCATTGCGGAGGTGCTGATGTCCCAGGAAATTTGCCCTTGTTAAAAGCCAGAGCTTTGCCCAATGGATGGCAAACGGCTTCCCTTTGATATGCTAAGTGTTTGCTTGCTGGCTTCTGTTTGTCGGATCAAGAGGTGAAAGACAGAGGTGAAGTTAGAGATGGCTCCAAATCCACACCTCAGCTTTCCAGCCTCAAATGTGGGCACCCCTCTGCTGCAGACTGGTGAAACCCCACACCCTGGCTGCTGGGTCAGGGGCATCTTACAGGTCCTTACAGCGATGATCAAGAAACAGCCTTCAAATAAGCTCACAGCTGAAAGTTAGAAACCACTTCCAAAAACCAACAACTGCATTTTACATCTGGCTTCTATTTCTGCAAAGGGCCGGAGCGGGGGCTTAGATCCAAAATTTGTGCATCAGGTCTACCTCTAGCCAAAATGTACAGAAGGTTTATAGGCAAATAAAATGGTAATTCAGTGAACTAAATGTTGTAGATGGCACAGGTTTTCAGATGCAATCTACAGTTAGAGGCTCAGATTTGCAAGCCTAGGTAATTTGTAGGTGGCTGGTGCAGGTCCAACTCCCAGAAGGAAAATTAGACGATCCACACCCTAAAAGAAATGGGCAATTCACCAGGGGCACAGATTTGCTGCTTCAATCTGTCAAATGACCTGTACAAAACAGATAGGGTAGTCGACAATAAACAAGCACTTGGGCCCACGGTGTGAAAGTGGGCTCTGTGCAACAAACCGGCAGCAGGATTTTTAGGAATCCAGACCGTCTTTGCAACCAGTTTCTCGCTCCCGCACGTGTTACCCCGGTCTACAGGCCCTTTCTATATTTGGCACCCCGTGGCAAACCCTGCCCTCCCCTCCCAGCACC